GAAAAATATTCCCTAAGCTACTAGCCATAATGAATAGTATAAGCTACTAGCTCCCAACTGTCAGATCTTCATCGGGTGGTTCAAAATTCATATCACTATCTGAATTTTATTTTATTTTCTAAAAATCAGTTCGTAATGAAATTTTGGACGTGTACTAAAAATTATGGTGCAAAATAAAAAATACAAATATAAAATGACCGAAGTATCCCTGAAACATGACGGGGGTAATTTGGTCATTTTAAATAATTGAAAGTAATTGTTCTCTATTTTTATAAGGTGCGCAATATTGTTATGTATATACACCCAAAAAAGTTCATCTTAATCTCATTTATAGAAAAAAGATTAAAATTAAACTAGTGATATGAATTTTGAACCACACGATGAAAGATCCGATGGCTGGGAGCTATAGTAGCTTATACTATTCATTATAGGTAGTAGTTATGAAACCGTTTTCCATATATATGTGTGTATGTGTGTGTGTGTGTGTGTCTATACTAAAAAGTAGCACATCTCTCATGGAAGAGGGATAATATTTAACTATTTGCAATAGTATTTATCTATTGTAGTCATCCCTCCTACGCAAGGAACTCACGACTTCATTTGCATCGCTACTTGCTGATCATGATTTATAATTTCTAATAGAAAATCAGCAATACTAACATCCATTTGAGTCACCTTCCACTACTAATAGCCCAAATGAGTGCTCAGAGAACTTGTGAAATTCAGCCAAGACTATATCTTTTTCTTGTCTCAGTAGAACTAGATATTAAAGGAAAGGTTTCCAAATAGCCTTCCTTTTGAAGGAAAGGGTTGAGAAGCCATCCACGAAGATATTGCTGTTGCCAACATAGACATCGCTTTGATATTACACACTAAGCCCATGAACAAATGCTAAAGCCTCCATATAGCCAAAATGCATGGGACAACAATATAGAGTCTCCTCAACATCTTTACATAAAACACAGTACATGGAGATGCCCCAATGTTGAAGTTAGTCCCTTGCTAGTAAACTGTCGATTGTCACTGATCATTGCTGCATAGAATGCAACACATCAAGAGTTGGACAACCCAATGATGAATTAGTACCTTGTGAGCATTCTGTCATTTGTCACTCACCAACCATCCAAAGGTATCCACATTTTTAGGGGCTGGATTGCTCCAAATTAGGACCAAGCAATGATTTCAGAACCCATCCTACAACACGAGAACCATGAGGTCAAGAACTTGATCGAAAACAATCCAACATCCTTTCACATTCCAATTCTCTCAGCCCATATTGAGCAGATGAAAGTCTCCTTTTATCTGGCTAAAAGCCCAAACAACTCCACGACCAAAGGTCCCCTCCAAATTATTGAAACCACAAGACCACATCCACCGTCCATCCCTCAAACAAACACCAATCCAGGCATTTGTTTTGGAGCCAGACTTGACAACTCCAAATGAAAAACACTGAGTGCCTTTGCAGTAAGCATCCTAAAAAGTCTTGAATTCACAGACATTATCACATCCGAACCTGATATGCATGACAAAGTTCACTCCCAGCACTCCAAACATTCTCTCAAAATTTGAACCTTCACTTGTTAGTTACCAACTCTGGACAAAGCATATTTATATACAGAATCCCCTCCAAAGTGCTCCCAGCTCCCAGCCTCCTACCAGTATCCAAAACCCTAAAACAGAAGTGTCCCATCAATCTCTTTGATAGTCTAAACTCATGGCCCCTGTTTCTTACCCTTAGATGTCTTGCATTTGGATTTTCAGAAATTTCAGCTTGGCTTTCCATTTGAGAAACAAAAACGGCAAGAGTTCAATAATCTACACCGAATACATTTCCAACTGAGGTACCAAAATAAGTTCGCTCAAGCCAAGGGATTCCTCAAATTCTAGACCTTGTGAGAAAGATTCAGAGTGAAGGTGGATCATAGGTAAACAAATATAAATAAGATACACATGAGAGACATCTAATTGACACCAACGAGAATCTAGCATTCTAGCTTCTAAATCTACTACAACATAATCTATCAAAAGAAAATCTAGTACAAAATCTACAATACAATAACAATGGTGGGTGCATGCATTCGCCAGTCAACCGAAAGCTACTAATCTTTAACACATGGCCTTCCAAATTTTCTCCTAAATATCTCTCTCATTATTCTAAAGGAAATGATAATGTCTAAGGTAGGTGTGGGGACTTGTTCCTCCTTAGCTCTTCCCTAGAATCTACTTAAGGGAGATCTCCCTTTTTAAGTCTTCATTCTTCTTCAATTTTTGAATTTAGGAATTAAGAGGTCTGTTGTAGATGGTAAGAGCGAAAGGAAAAGGTTGATAACGCAGTAAGAGAACAACATATATGGTGAAAGTTCACCACAACATGAAAATAATGATTGCATTGCAAAACATAGACCAAACCCCAAAAACGGTTCCAGAAGCACCTCCACATCATGTACTTCTGGACGCTTAGGAGATGAGAAGTGCTATGAACTTCCAATTGTAATGCATATAATCAACTTCCAAAATAACATTATTAGTACACCTGATACCATAGATCTTTAGAAAGTGTAGCACTATATAACTAGAACATGGCAGGATTGATAGATTGATCTTGCCTCTACAAACTACACATTTCTTCTCCCTCTCTTCGAAGTACTCAAACTTATTCATACCAAGCTTCCTGCCTCCCTGTCTTTGAAGAGAAAACAATCTACAAAGTATACAAATCCCATCAGATTGTTTCCTCATCATGCATAGAAGAAGATGTGTAATTTATAGAGGAAAGTGCAGCTATATTGTAACAATGCAAGTACGAAAAGACCTAGCAGATCTTCCTCGCAAGCTTATCGTCTCAATCTCCAGCAAACAAATCAAAATATACTTAAAGAAGTCAAATGATTGTTTGAAACTAAATTAACAAAAACGAGCATGCTAGAAGATAACCAAGAGCAACCATGCACAACTTGTCCATTGGCAACCATTTCAAGACTCATCAAACTAAATGAGACAAGGGAAAACAAAGAAACTAACAGTATCCCATATTTGAAGCTTGATTGGTTTGTTGTCAATAGTAATCATTCTGGCCCCGAATTCGACACCAATGGTTAAGTCATGAACAGGTTGGAAGCGCTTGTCAGTAAACTGCAGAAGCAGACATGATTTTCCAACTCCTGTGAACACAAAGAACCAAGCATCAGCAAAATTAAAGATCCAGAATGCATTCTTCTCTTCCAACCTTGATTCATTAGAAATTCCAAAATATCAAATATAAAAGGGTACAAATGAAAGAAACATATAAAAAAACAAAAAGTAAATAATCACTGAAAAAAAATGTGAACTTCGAAAAGAATAGAATACAATGGAAAGATTGAGCATGAAAGAAGAATATGTATTCAAGTTTGAAGAAGGGGCAACTGTAATGCATTTTAAATCACAATACTGTGGACAAAGATTAAATAAAACAATACGTAAATGAGAAGTCTTCAAGTCAAGAAAGAAGGCCAACCAAAGAAAAATCATAGCAGAGATACTCTGCTGAGTTGAGAACATCTCTACATATTCCTCCACCCACAAAACTCAAGAGATTCTTCAAATAAATCAGAAAAGCAAAGCTCAAACATCAACACCAGGACTCCATTATCCCCAAAAATACAATAGAAAAATTATAAACCAAAAATGATGAAAAAAGACAATGACTTTTTCAACTGAAACTACAAAAACTTCCAAATCAAGACTAAATGGAAACAGACCATCTGAAAAATAAACAGAAACTCCAAAAGCTTTTGACTTTTTGCAGCGAAAAGAACGAAGAAGAAACATGGAAAGAGATACAGCTGCCATAAATAGAATGGTATTGGTTTAACACTAGTCTCCATAGCGTTTAGGAAGACAGCACAAAAATGCGCCCCCCCCCAACAACAAAAAAAAGAAAGAAAAATGACCATGAATCATTAATAAATTGCCTAAATCCAAGAAAAAAAAAAGGAATGGCCACTAAAAACCTTGTTTCCACATGAAAAACAATCTGCAACTCAGAATTTTCTTAAATTGAATAGAAAATATAAGGGAACCACAAATAAAAATTGTGGATGTAGGGACAAGGCCTATATTTTACTATTCCTAAAAAACAAAAAAAACCATTCCCAACAGGGATTCTTAAATTGAATAGAAAATATAAGGGAACCACAAATAAAAATTGTGGATGTAGGGACAAAGGCATATATTTTACTACTGAAAAAATCGTAGAACTTGAAAAACAAGATTGCAAAAAAACACCATTCCCAATAAGGAAAATGCGTAAAAGCAATAATTTTTTTCATACTAACCAGTTAAAAAGAGAGAAAATGAGTAAAAGCAATAAATTTTTTCATATTAACCAGTTAGAAGGAGAGAGAGCGTGTATGTGTAATTCATAATATGATCAAAGAAGCAAAGTATTTCCCTGATATGCCCAAATCTCTAGGTTACTGGTAAAGTCGACATATGTCGAAAATAGAAAGAAAAATAAACTTAAATCATGAAAATTTGGCATCAGAAAAAAGAATCCCAAGAACTACATAATCTGCCTAAACTACAGAAGAACTAAGCAAGTATCAAACTACAACATAAGATAAACAGTATAAAAATCGAAAAAATCAAATAACTGAATTGAACCAATGAGTTACAAGAAACAAATTAATACCTGTGTCTCCGATGATAATATACTTGAAGAGATAAGCATACGACATTGTTTGTTTCTCAATCAAATCAAACCTTTCTGGAAAAAAGAAGAAGTAAGAATTAACTAAGATTAAAAATATTCAAGAAAACCCAATTGAGAATTCACAGATTTCCAACGCTTTCGCAAAACCCAAGTGAAAAACCTATCAACAAAACGATTAAGGAAAACCCAGCTCAGAACTCACAAGATTTTTAATGGTTTATCAAATAACCAAGTATGAATCAAGAAATTTAGACATTTTCTAGGAAACCCAATTGATAATTCTCAAAATTTCTAAGAATTTCACGAGATTTTGGCCAAAAGAAGAAACAATAAATTCAATATCTGTAGAAAACCCTACTTTAATTAGAAATCAACAAGTATATCAGCAAAAGCTCTGACCTTGCAACGATTTATCGATCCAAGAAAGAACAGCCCCGTAATTGAAAACAAAGACAACTTAATCCTTAAGTAAATGAAATCGAAAGAGGCGGTTTTCAAACAGGTTTTGAAACGCGTCCTAAAGAGTTCATCTGCGCTGTCAAACGTCCTTGCCGTGGAGGAAACAAAAAGGAAGGATCGCCTCGGTTTTCTAATAAAATCGCCAAATATTCGCAACGTTTACAATTACTACTTATATAATATTCTAAATTTATTAGTATTAATTTTTTGAAGCCCTAAGAAGAGAATGGATCACCACGATTTTGAATAAATCGTCAATTAATCGCTGTTAAATGAATACTAATTTATGAAATTATATTCTGATTTCGTGATAGCTTTTCTGCAAACTTCGAGAATAAGCCACGTGTCTTTAAATTTTTGTTTCTTCATGTTGGCAAAGTATATATTATATTATATTATATTACGTAGAGGTCTAGATACAAACCCTTAATATATTATATTACGTAGAGGTCTAGATACAAACCCTTAATATATTATATTACGTAGAGGTCTAGATACAAACCCTTAATATATTATATTACGTAGAGGTCTAGATACAAACCCTTAATATATTATATTATGTAGAGGTCTAGATACAAACCCTTAATATGATAGCTGGAACCTTACTTCGAGTATATCTTTTGTTTTTGTGTTAATCATAACTGGATGTGGTTTGTATAAGGTTTCTATTTTAAATAATTAAAATAAGGTATAATCGTAATTTGTTTTAGAGGGGAGTTTTGGTGTTGGAATTTTTACCACCAAAGTCTATTTTCATCCATTATAAAGAAATTTTAAAATTTTAAAATAATATAGATTGAGTAGATCTATAAATACTATTTTTTAAAAAATAGATGGTATAAATAATGTGTTAAAATATGTGTTATTTTTAGGTCTTTAAATTCTTTATTTTGTTCATTTTCATTCATCTTGAAGTCGAGATCATCAATTATAGGGTTTTTTTTAACAGGTTTTGGTTCTTTTAAAAATTTTACGTGGGTGATGCTTGTATACAAGCTAGGAGCTTGTAACTCTTTCAAAATTTAAATAGGGGAAAAGTTTATATAAGGTTGAAAATTAAGGTACACCTCAAAAATCAAGGAAACAAGAAGATGTCGAAGTTGGGAATCTAATTGATTTTCTCGACCTTCATATATGGATATAAAAGAAAAAAGAATTTCAAGTCTTAAAAATTGTGCATATTGTAAAAAGAAATCTAGGCCGTCTATTTTCAAAATTTTCAAGTGTTTATAGATCTACTCGTTTTGCCTAGTTTTTGAAATTTTAAATTTTATAGTTCGAGTAGAACATAAATTTTCAAGCTATCATAAGATTTCCAATACACAAACTACATCTTTGGATAATATAACGTAAGCAACTTATACAAATTCACACTTCAAATAGGGGTGCTTATAGCTTCAGGCGATCTCTCAAGTACCATAAACAAAGACTAATATACACCACACAAATCCTTAAGTTGCTTTGATGAATCTGTTGAGCATGATTGAGAGCTTATTGCACACGACCCATAAAATTTTTCGTTTAGGAGATGTATTATTAATGTTTTTTCCTATGAGAGATATAATTTGTGAAAGAGGCCATTGCATATTTTTAGATGGAGAAAGTGAGAGGTTATGCAGTGGAACTAACAAGTCCGACCACTTATTAGTACCTTATTTGGTGTGGTCCAAACAAAAATTAGATTCAACAAAAAACTAGTCAAAACTAATGTTTGATTAGTTTTAGTCAATTGAACTGATCAGTTTTGATATATTAAACAAAATTTTAACATATTGTATATTCGAACATACAACTAATTTTTTATTCTTTTTAAATCTAGTCTGGTTGACCAACTAATAAAACCAAATTTGAGTGGGATAGACCTTCACCCGCTTAATAGACAATCCCATATTGATTGATTTTGGAAAGGACAAAGATGGGCATCATGGGGCTCTGCAAGGGATTAGAGTGGATGAATGGCCTTTATATATAAAATATAGAATGGTGCCCTTTTCTTTCTAATTATTCCTGAAAGGGTGGGTTTCTATAGAGCCAGGGCTCTAAACAATCAAATTAGAGCCCACCTTCAAATGGTATTGAGAATAGTGGTTTCAATACTGAAAATCTTTGTGATAGCTTTAAAATATATTATTAACTATAATTATAAGATTTAAAGGTTCGAAAATAGTGTATATTGAGTAAATCTATAAAAATTTGAAAAACTTGAAAATTAACGGTCCAAAAATGCGTTACAAGATGTACTGTTTTCAAAACTTGAAATCCATTTGTTTTCTTATGTCCATGGATCTCGAAATCGAGATTATCAATTTGAGGATATTTGAGTATCAAAACAACCTCTTCTAATGAGATTGGGCTCTAATTTGATTGTTTAGAGCCTCGGCTCTATATAAATTTTTCCTTTGCTTTAATGCCCGTCCCATCTTAATCCGTTTCCTAAAATTTTTCCTTTCTAATATTCTTTTTCTAATTCTAATAGACTAACTCATATATCGGAAGAAAACATCCCAATTAAGTGTGGTAGGTTTGGGTAGCGAGTTTATTTTTCAAAAAAATAACGATAAAAATAATTTTGTTGAGTAACGAACACTTGTTTTGTTGGGCTGTAGAGCCTAAAAAAACAAGTGTAGTGCAACTAGATTCTAACTCCTAAAGCTAAAAGGTTGTACGTTCCTACGGGGACCAGACTGTCCATTTACTTCTTTGGATGAAATCCAAAGTAATTTTAGCCCCTCAAACTTTAGGATATAACCTTATCAACCCATATGCTAAACTCAAAAAAAAGAAAAGAAAAAAAGAGTAAGTTAGCATGTGGGTTTGAATCCAAATCCCATTTTTTATGGGCTTGAGTAAAATATTGTCTCAAAATTAAATAGAAACTATCCAATTTTTTAAGTATAATTATTAAAAAATTCAAATTTTAATTTTTTTTTCTTTTAAACATAATACTTAATAAGTGTTAGCATGTGGGTTTGAATCCAAATCCCATTCTTTATGAGCTTGAGTAAAATAATGCCTCAAGATTGAATAGAAACCGTCCAATTTTTTAATAGAAACTGTCCAATTTTGGAAGTATAATTATTTAAAAATTCAAAATTTAAGTTTTTTCTTCTTTTGAACATAATATTTAATAATTTTCAAATCTTGCTCAAAATTTTGGAAAAAAAAAAAATTTATTTCGAAACAATTCTCCTTCCCGAGGGAGTAAGTGTACACTTTGCTCTTGCATGAGCATAGTACACGTGCTCACTCCTAAATCGTGAAAGGTTAGCAAGGACATGTTTAGTTGGAAAGGACAGAGTAGACTCACACAACACTATTATAAAGTGGGTGACAAGATAGGGACCCAAACCCTCGTAAGCCATGAAGCTTCATGCGAGTGTTAGGAGGTTGGATCTTTGGATCTGATTATTTGATATTTCAATGTGCCAACCCTTGTTCTATTCTTTACCCTTGTTCTATTCTTTCTTCCAAACTCTCTTTAGGGGCTGCCTAGTCAGACCCATCGACCCAAATAGGCATCTAGAATATACTATTGAACTTAACGGGTTGGGTTTGGGTCCATCTTCAACTTTATCCGGTTTGGTCGGGGCAGACCTAACACATATATATATTACAATATTTTTTGTGTAGGTTCGCACCCATGGATAGGGTTGGGGTAAATCAACTTGGACATAGGCGGATAGGCACATAGTCTGGATGCAGGTCCAACTAGGATCTAGTCGGTTCGTGGTCAACCTGATCTGCTGAAACCCTTGTTGAGCGCATACAGTATGCTGCCATAGGAGTATATGGTACATACGCTATCTCTGGAAGAATAGTCACTTAGAAGGATAGTTTTTATTTGAAAATTTGGGACCTGCTTTAGAATTACTAGATTAGTATTTTAAAAAAGAAAAAAATTTAAATTTCTCAATATGTAGATCGGACCATCCCAAAGTTGACACAAAATCAGGGTCCTAAATATAGTCATAGCTTGGGTTTTACCAAATTGGGAAGAATAGCCACTTAGAAGGATAGTTTTTATTTAAAATTTTAGGACCTACTTCAGAATTACTAGACGAGTATCTTTTCTTAAAAAAAACAAAAAAGAAATCTTGAATTTTTCAACATATAGATCTGACCGTCCCAAAGTTTGACACAAAATTGGGGTCCCAAGAATACTGTTAATTACAAATAATACTCTTAGTTGTATAAGCTCGAGTTTTTCTAGATAATGTTTCTCTTCACATTTAAACCATGAATTTATCTAATTTTCCCCTTACTTTCCATATTACAAATTCTCAAATAACATGGTTATTTACAAGTCTATATAATCAATATCTTATAGATGGGATGCATAATAACTCCAAATGAAGGGATATGCTCTTCCAATGAAAAACCTATATAAGCATCTGCCTTAATCACACATTAAATATCATAAGCATTGTTAAGTTGTATAATTTGTTTTAGAGCTGCATAAACTTGATTAAGCTGTATGAAGTTTGTTTGATAAAAGGTGATCACTTATTCATTATGGCCATGGATCTGAAGAGTAATAAAACCCTTTTTTTTTTATTTGGTGATACGGAAATGCATCTTAATCACAAAGTTAATTTACACGGATGATCTTCTCATTTGGCTCTCTTCCTATAAAAAAACGGAAAAAAAGACAAAAAGGAGAACGGAATGAGAGAAACATAACAGTCAGGAGGTAGATCCACACCTAGGGCCTGTAGTTGAGTATTAAGGAAATGAAGTCGAAGCATGAACAGTGCTCAAATGTCCATGGCTGGTAACATATAGATTGAGGGTAATGGTGGAAGGAGATCCACACAATGTTATCTAGTGGATTGGAGTGGAGCACGAAGTCCGTAGAATCTCTTGCTGTTATAAAGAGAAAATAGCCATTGCAAAGGACTTAGCTAAGGAAGTTCTAAAGCCTATCTTGAAGATACAGGGTTCTGAATTCTTGACATCTAATACACTTGTAGATCAATTGGGGTTAGTCAGTTGTGAGCTAAAGTTTGCAAAAAAAATAAAAATAAAAAAAAGAAAGAAAGAAAAAAAAGGAGAGATTCGTATCAACTCTTGGAAGTGTTCCTCCTTTGGGTCATTTAAACACTAATAATGCATGGAGCTGTAAAATTACATTTCCACATGCAACGCATCCACTATACATTCAAAAATTGGATGATTGAGATTAACTGTAGCGTATATTTGCATATTGTTCGCCGTATTCGTAAAATGGTTCATCTTCGCATCCCCATC